TTCTTTGAAGAGCGTGGTCATGGTGGAAACGTCTCCACAATCACGTGAAGGTTATGAGATGCACAACGGCAATGGGCGATATGGAGATCCTTACGGAGGAGGAAGTGGCGATCGTAATGCTGTTTACTATATGGGAGATGTTCGTCACCATTTCACGGCATCATTGGATTGGAAGAAGTTGAGACCTGTCGGAATGGAGGTTTGTTTCCAGTTCTAAATTTCTATTCGATGCTAACGTTGTTTGGAGAGGCCACGCGGTAGCTCAACTTTAACTTCTTAGCGATTCAAGGCAGCGTTCAGAATTCTTGATGACGCGCTTCGGCGCGCTACATCGCCCTTCCATTGCAGTACCGCTGCAGTGCTGTAGACGTGGACGGTGGTATCGATCGGCGCTGGCCGCTACTGTCTTACGGGAATATGGGAAAATAGGAGCGTGAGAGACTGCGTGACTAGGTAACACCTAACCTACTGTTCTCCTATATTTTCTCGGGACACTAGCGGCCGGTGTTTGCGTCTATGGCACGGGAGCGCCATTAAAATTGAAGCACGCCGACGCGCGTCTTCGCAAAGTCTGAATGCTACCTAAGCCTGATCCTTGTGAATGGGAAGGAGCACAGATGCACTCGCGTGTATACGCTGATTCTCATCCACAAGGATCATCCATCTATGCGCTCTACTTGCGCCTTTGCGTCCCATGTAACACTGGTATTCAAAACCTTCAGAATCAGTAAATGCTTATCTATTTATTTATTTATCTATATGATTAGGAAATGATCTTAACTTTCCAAGGGGAGTCTGAATGGCTACCCAGAGATTTGATCTTGATGGAGTGAAGTGTTTATAAAAATATATGAACTAAAATTAACAAACTCTTCTATCTCGATTTGCTGGGAACCGTGGATCCGGAGCACTGAGATTCTTTAAACTCGCGTGGAGCATGCGTTACAAGCGCTCAGAGAACAACTGCAGACTTGGTTACTTTAGCCATGTATACAGTCTGGTTCCAAATCATATATTTGGATGTGGATGATGGGGCGTGTCAGTGAGGCTGGGTTAGGCGCGCCAGCAGCGTTCTGCACCAGCTGTTGAAGCGGGTAAGCGGCAACACATGGTAGAAAACGACTGATACTAGCGATATGATACCCTCTTGTCGCCTGCTGTCTTCAAAAACTTGTGGAAAATGGGTTTTCGCCGCCACAGTCCATAACACCCTACACACCCACCATAAGCAGCGGACAATATTGTAGGAGATTTAAAAAATCCTGAAGTAATTTCAGAACACAGCGACAACATCAGACGATATGATGAAATCACCGTCGAAAAAACAGAAACCAGCGGAATTAGACAGTATAAGGAAGGAGCTGAAAGAGTTGCAACAGCAACGGACCAAACAAATTACTAGCGCTTTGAAGAGATGGAATGCCTAGAGCTTTGTTATGCATTACTTTTATTCACAAGTATTCTGTGTTGTACATTCGGCTATATCACATCGTCTGTTTTACAACATACGGCAAGCTGCCTTCCTTTCTTAGGAAGGCATGTCTAGTTTCAAGAATGAGGGGATTCCAATGCTATGCTCTTAGTGGATCGATGATGAGCACATCAAACAATCTACAGCTCCTGGTCTCAATTGTGTGTCTTTTACTACTGCTGCCCTGCCCATCCAAGATAGAGGATGTCAGCCGAGCAGGGTTTTGCCTCCTCCTCTCGCAAGACTTTCTCACCCCCCCCCTTCGGCGTCTTCCATTCTACCAACTATCTCCTTGAAACCGTGCAAGTTTCATTTTCCAACTTATTCCTCTAAGTTTTCCAAAAAACTGTCATTGAGCGGTAGGGAGTATGTCCCTCAAGTTAGCGACCAAGTAACCCCACCCCCCCCCCCCCCCCCCCCTTCGATGGAGATCCCCAAGAGCAGTGTTTGCCATTGTGCGTGCCTAGTTATGAAATCTGTTGTTCTGTAGATATTCTTCAGTTTCCTCCATGTTCTCAAGCGTTCGTATTGATCGTTGTTAAAAGTTGTTAAGAATATATACCATAATCATTTTCATGTATTCTTTTTATCTTCTCTTCTGACAATATTGTAGGAGATTTAAAAAAATCCTGAAGTAATTTCAGAACACAGCGACAACATCAGACGATATGATGAAATCACCGTCGAAAAAACAGAAACCAGCGGAATTAGACAGTATAAGGAAGGAGCTGAAAGAGTTGCAACAGCAACGGACCAAACAAATTACTAGCGCTTTGAAGAGATGGAATGCCTAGAGCTTTGTTATACATTACTTTTATTCACAAGTATTCTGTGTTGTACATTCGGCTATATCACATCGTCTGTTTTACAACATACGGCAGGCTGCCTTCCTTTCTTAGGAAGGCATGTCTAGTTTCAAGAATGAGGGGATTCCAATGCTATGCTCTTAGTGGATCGATGATGAGCACATCAAACAATCTACAGCTCCTGGTCTCAATTGTGTGTCTTTTACTACTGCTGCCCTGCCCATCCAAGATAGAGGATGTCAGCCGAGCAGGGCACGTTTTGCCTCCTCCTCTCGCAAGACTTTCTCACCCCCCCCCCCCCCTTCGGCGTCTTCCATTCTACCAACTATCTCCTTGAAACCGTGCAAGTTTCATTTTCCAACTTATTCCTCTAAGTTTTCCAAAAAACTGTCATTGAGCGGTAGGGAGTATGTCCCTCAATTAGCGACCAAGTAACCCCACCCCCCCCCCCTCGATGGAGATCCCCAAGAGCAGTGTTTGCCATTGTGCGTGCCTAGTTATGAAATCTGTTGTTCTGTAGATATTCTTCAGTTTCCTCCATGTTCTCAAGCGTTCGTATTGATCGTTGTTAAAAGTTGTTAAGAATATATACCATAATCATTTTCATGTATTCTTGGAAATCTTTTTATTTTTGTGAAGTTCTATTTGTGCAAAATCGTTGAAGAGGTCCAAATTTTATTGTTATTGAACGGCTGTTTGATAAAGCTGCGCTAAATGAGCAAATTGTTATTCGAATAAATCCTATGTAAAAAAAGGTGAAGTACAGTAAACAGGACAAATCGAAATATTGGCGCCAAAGTCTGGACATTTCACTTCATGGGGTACTATCTGCTGCGTCATAGGGGCAAGATTCATGAGAGCAATTTCATGAGATTATTCCGCCCATGTGCTTTTCGCCGAAGGCCCTCATTACCTAACCTAACAACCATCGGAGACATCGTTCCAGGGAGTTCTTCTGAGAGCTTTTTCCGCTTAGCAATCACAGAGGATGTCCCACTGTGAATGATGGACGGTAGGGTGGTAACAGACGTAATAAATCGAAGGAACGCCACTCGCAGAAGTTGTCATTTCGCTTGCCTTGTAGTTTGTCTTCCTCTTATTACTTGCTCGGTCGCCGCACAGCAGTTCCTCGCTTTCTTAGTCACTCTTTCGATCCAAGGGTCTTATTTATGGCGCCATGTAGCTCCAAGAACTCTATGTGACTGTGTAGAAAGGTATCTGTGTACTCCAGGGGTCTTATTCAGGGCGTCGTGTAAGGCGACGATGTCCGTGATTTCCCTCATTAGTAAGTGAACCAGTCTGTGAAACCATACTTGGACCCTAGAGCCGTCGAATTACTGTTGCGGAATACTTTTAAAGGCAGTGGGCATAGTCGCTGTGGGCGGGGGTTGCCACCAATGCCACTGGTGGAAAGGATGGGTAGGGCCAGACGTCGCCCTTCCGCCAATGACGCTGGCAGCAACCAGCCGCCTACAGCAATTTTCTCACTGCCTTTAAATGCTTCTAAACGATTCTGAAAGAAAGTGAACAGCACGCCCACCTTATCCTTTCTATCGTTTGCTTTCTACGAGTCTCTCCTTCAACTTCTGAATTTTTATCGAATATGGTAGTTTCCTTCAGTGCAATGAAGCCAGCAGAGGCCTTACCGTAGGGGAAATTCTGATTCTGCAAAACACCCTTCTCCTCTCGAAATTTTGTCCTCTCGTATACCCCTTTCCCATCCAGGGTACAGCATGGGGATGTGCGAAATGTCGGTGTGAGTACGACCCCCCCCCCCTCGAATGGGGTCCAGGCACGACCCCCCTCCACCTCCACGGCTTTTTCGCCGACGAGCAATGACTTTTGCCCCCCTTATAGTCGGGCAAAAGTGTTGTCGGCGGAGAAGGGCGGTAGGGCGGGGGGGTAGATTATCATTACAGAATGCATATAGTGCATATAAAACAAAAAATTAATACGACCCCCCCTTTTCCACAAGAAAAAATCAACTATCAAAATAAATTTGTCTTACAAATACGACCCCCCCCTCCCCAGAGCAAAAGTACGACCCCCCCCCATGGGTTTGACACAGTTTGGCACGATGCTGTCACTCTGTTCCCATCCCCCATTCGTGCCTTATCATCTTGCTGAACTTTCATAGTATAACTATACTCCCTTCAGCGATGAAATCCCTTTTCGTTGGGGATTCCCAACGTACGATTCGTCCTGTTGAGCCAACGGACCCGCGTCATCAAAAAAAAAACTCCGCCTTTAACTTGCGTGAATGCGGGAAAACAATTTGGAATTCTCTCTAGATGTCAGACGACATTTCAGAATTCTCAATAAGCTTGACTGAAACTCTGCCAGTCATTCTTACAGCCCTTTCCAATAATGACAACTAATTCAGCACTTTATTCCAGTGTTTGCACTGGAGTAGCCAGTCACCTTGTCCATAAAAAGCAATTCGCTACAGGTAATGAATAATTAATGAACAGCTCAGAAACTCCCCTCACTCATTTTTAGAAGCTAATAACCTTCGAGGAAACATTCAAGGAGGAAACATTCAAAGAGGTGCAGAGCTAGACTCGCCAAAAGATGGAACTAACAATAAGGACTTTTGCCTGAGCTTGAACAGAAGGATCTCTGAACTGGGTCACCCATTTTCAATCGCGGTTACTCTATTGAGTTGAAAACTCAGTCTGAGACAACGAGTTTTCTGTATGCCTTCCGATTAACAGCGCCACATCTGTAGTAGGGCCCGGTGACCACGATTACAGTCGCTCGTGGGAATTCCCGCACCGCCTGGGTAGAAAATCCATCGTCTTCATCTCGTCTGCACTCCGGAGAAAAACATGTAGGCTCCTATAGTATATGCCCAGCTTGATGAAATCTGTGATGGCTTTCCAGAACTTCTTCTAACACCAGTGTTTTTACCGTGGATTATGGCACGTAATTCTTTGGAAGTGCATTGGGTGTGATTAATAGCCTTTTTCACAGGGAATTCGGGCCAGCGTCCCTTCAGTGATCATTAACTGCTTTCTTAGGGAGCTTTCATTGAGCCACGCGATTGCATATTGTGGGTAAAGGCTTTCGATGACGAACCTATGGTGTAGTATGGTCACTAAGTGACTCTCCAGTGGAGAAAAAAAAGCAAGAAAAGGTAAGGGCAACACCGTAAACACCCCCAGCAACCTTACTGTAGGAGTTGTCCGGACCTGCTCGTTTTTATCAAAGCGATATCTCTGGCTCATTTATCGTTTCTGGCATAATCTAGTGCTAATACCATCTAACAGTGAAAAAAAAACGAAAAACACGGTGTAAAAACTGAACCCGTGACAGAAAAAACCTTCGAGTTTTGTTGGGCGGGGCAACTAGGGGCAACCGGGCATCGCTACCCTCCATCCCTGTTCTGGTGCACTTTCAAGGGATGACGTGGAAGCTACTGGAGCTGCAGACCCATTCTTCCCGCTTATGGCAAGAACTAGGATCCGCAGAGGTGGGTGTAGAACGTGACTGTCTTTGAGTGCTTGTCCACCCCTACAGGCAGGGTACTACACAACAAAACCAGAGTGTACGCCCCCCCCCCCTTGCCCCAAGATATGCCTTTGAGTTGTCCAGCCTTTTTGGGTCCTGAATGAGAATTCACCGAACAATCCGCAATAGCGATCGTATCCAGACGTTTAAGCGGATGTGTCCTCGGACTTAGTTGTGGGCGAGGCTTCCAAAGCTTATCTGTGGGTAGTAGTGGCCTGCTCAAACAGAGGGCTAGAAGTGCACTAACGTGTGCCACCCCCATTCTCGTATCCACTTGCCATCGATGTCTCTGCCTAAACCGGCCCGCGCCCTCACAACCTTCTCCGTAGATGTCTTCCAACGCCGACATGTCGACTGTAGCTGGTCTAGCTGAAGCTCACTCTTGATTTACTCACGAATAGAACTCTTGGTTTGTAAACGGTGCTCTGAATGCTCATCATATATAGTGCAGTTCGCTGTGGACGGTTGGGCGTGTCAGGCGGGATGAGTTTGGCGCGGTGCCAAACCCGTTCTCCACCAGTTGTTGAAGCGAGCAAATGATATGACTGCGTTCGTATTACTCGTTTTCTACCACTTTTTGTCGCATGCGCGCTTCAACAAGAAGGCAGAGAACGGCTTGACGGCGTGACACACTCATACTGCCTGACACGCCCAACCGTCCGCAGCGAACTAGAGTGTATGATCTGCAGGATTAATGCTATGAAGGGAACTGACCCAAAAGCTCAATCACGTTAACCTGTGTTGCTAGCAACCTTCAGCTTCATTCGTGTACTCTGTGCTCCTCACGTACTCCTGTAATCTTTGGGAAAACCAGCAATTAAAAAATATGGCCGGTATAAACACCTTTTTCTTCCCTGTCTGCAATGTCAACGTACGCGTGTCCCGAGCTCACTCGTCAAGTAATCATCATGCTTTACTCTCATTATTCTTTGTTCCTATTATTCCTATTTCCTTTACAATTTTTACTTTTTCCTACTGCGACCAAAACATTTATTTTTAGCAGAGCTCGAACATTGAAGGGCATTTGTCAGGGCCCTTCGAGAGGTTTGTTCCAGGAAAACAAGTGCAGGGTTTTCCACAAGGTGAAGAACGGGATGGGCGTGGACGGAAGCCGCTTCTGGGATTTTAAGTGCCCACTTCAGCAACACTCGTCTAAGTCAAAGTGCTCTTACAAGTTCAAAGAATCCACCGAATATACTAACCTAGGCTCATTTACCAGTAAGCCTCCTTCTGACTTTTAGTGTTTAGTACCGGAAAAAAGCATGGAACAGAAACCGAATTGCGTTTTTTTTATTTTTTCCTGAAATCTTTGGCCCTGGCCGTCTCTATGGTGGGCTATTTTGCAGGTTGGCTAGCTTTTTTCAGCTTTCTCATAGCTTTTAAAATCAGAGACCACTCACTAAGAGACTGTCACAAATTGTTTTTTGTTTAGATGCACTTCTTCGGAGAGTGACCTCACAAGAGTTGACCTCTTCAAA